AAAAAAAAAAAAAAAAAAAAAATTCAGTTTACCCTGGCTTGTCACATGTGGGAAAAGAAGGAAAAAATTCAATTTATATTGAAAGATAGAGAATACAAAGTGACATCAGTGTTTCCTCATGCTTCCCACCCCAGAAGAAGCACCAGTGTATTTTTGTCTGTCTGTTCAGACCTTTTCCTACGTATTTACAAGCACATGTGTACACACATGCTTTTTAAAATATGAATAAGGTCATATGCATACATTGTTCAGTCACCAGCTTTTTCTCCTCCCTTAAATATCCCAGCCACTTATCCACTTCAGTATATTTCCTGTCATTCTTATTAATGATGTAACAGTATTCCATGTAATAGATGGACTATGTTTAATTAACTGTTCTGTAATTATTGAACATAGAGGTGCCACCCTGACCTTTTCTACCTTCACTGTCTGCTTCTTTGTCCCAAGGACCATAAAAAGGATTTCTCTCCCCCTTTCTCTTTTAGGCTATACCTTTCTACTGTCTTTACTGTTGGGCATGCTTTCCTCTTATACAACGACCATGACTGACTCATGTTCAGAATTGTAATCGTTATAGATCCACAGTGACTCATAATGCCTTGTCTCTAATATTTTATAGGTGCTGTAAAACTTTGTAAAGGGTAAAATCAAAATAAATAGCAAACAAAAGGGTTCTGATTGCTAAGAAACTAAATCTGAAGCATGAAGTAATATCTGTTACCTTCTTCTGTTACATACTTAATAATAGAAATGAATGTTTAATCCCTATATAGGAAGACATGGAAAAGCATTTTGTGGAAGGAAGGTGGACTAATCTTTTTGATGTCTTGAATTCTAGCTACAGAGGGAGCCCTTAAGCCCTGAGGAGATACAGTCTGTCCGGGACCACCTGGGACTTGAAAGTGTCAGCCTGCTGTCTGTTCAGATCACAGGCAAAAAACCAAACTTTGAAGTAGGTTCTTCTAGTCAGCTTAAGCTTTCTATTACCAAGAAATCATCTCCTGCAGGTAAGGCTGGCCTGGGGACATTATTCTGTTTGAATGAGTCTGGAGGAACATGTTAAAAATTGAGCTAGCAACAAATGAAATGAAGATATTTTTAGAGGATTAGTCCTTCTTGGATTTCTGTCATTTCCACGTAGAAGGATGCTTAATGTACTGTTATCATGGGCATATTAGGGTCAAAAACTGAAATAATACATATTATCTAGTTCAGTTCCTTCTTCTGCACCACTCCTGATTCTAGAGGCCTGAGTCACATCATTTAGTTAATGAAGTTCGCCGGGCCCTAGAATTACATTATCCTCAGAAGACCTCAGAGTACTGATAATGGAGATGAGTGCCCTGTTCCTGTTCTTAAGTGCTTTTTTTCTTCCTAAACCAGTAAAATCAGCTTTCCTTACTTTGACGATCCTAAAACACTTAAAAAACTTTATTTCTTCTGCCAGAAATGTGTGTGCATGCACACACACACACGTTGTCACCACTGTTGTCCTTCCCATCATTTTTTTTTTTTTTTGAGACGGAGCCTCAAGCTATTATCCGCCTGAGTAGAGTGCCATGGCATCACACTCACAGCAACCTCCAACTCCTGGGCTCAAGCGAGTCTCCTGCCTCAGCCTCCCAAGTAGCTGGGACTACAGGCGCCCGCCACAAAGCCTGGCCATTTTTTGGTTGCAGCCATCATTGTTGTTTGGCGGGCCCGGGCTGGGGATTCAAACCTGCCACCTTAGGTGTATGTATCTGGCGCCTTAGCTGCTTGAGCCACAGGCGCTGAGCCCCATCACTATTTCTTAATGCCTGAATTGTCCCAACAGTGAGGTATGCAACATTTTTTAGATATTTACTGGTACATTTACACTGCACTGTTTTGATTGTCTAACCTAAATCTTAAATCCTTTGGAAGCTGACCTTTGGATTCATGGTTCCAGAATGGGTAGGAACAACTAAGATGAGCAGTTGGCCTGTGGCAGGTCTGAGCATCCAGTTGTGACCACGGTAACTATAGAGTACTCATACCCTAAAGGCCTCTGAGGATTTGCCTACACTGAGACCCTGGTCTCAGCTCTCTCAGGCCCTACCTTGCTTTCTCCAAGCTAGAGAGAGAATTAGGAGGTGTGAGGTTTGTGTCTGCCACTGAGTGCATTCCCTTGCCACCAGCAGCAATGGGGCTTTTTTTTTTTTTTTTTTAACATGTAACAAGTTTTTGTGAGGCTCAAGCTTTGCTATTTATGAAGTCTTTGACACATTTCTCATTCAGTCATCAAGACACCTGCATAAATACAGGGTATGCTATTTAGCCTCATGTTATAGGGGTTGAAATAAGATAATGCAGAGAAGGTGATATGGCATTAGAGAGACTTTGTGGCCTAATTTACCAGGCCCAAGTGTCTAAAACTGTTTCCTCAGCTGTAAAATTAGAATGACAAACAAATACTTATCTTAAAAGGTTATTAGCAGGATTTAGATTAGATAATGCATATAAAGTGCTTAATATATAGTACATGATACAAAGCCAGTACTTAACAAATAGTGATTTCTGCAACTATCATAAAGTGATTGGCCCAAGGTCAGGTCTTTTGTAGGTGGTAGAGCTAGGCCCGGAACCCAGGCCTTGTGACTCCAGTTTGATGTGTTCTCTACACAGTAGCATACACTGTGTATAGTTGCAGTTTGTTTCTGATCATTTTTCTGGAATTCTTTTTCTTTTATTGGTTGGTCTCAGTGAAGCCTGCTGTGGACCCTGCTACTGCCAAGCTCTGGACCCTCTCAGCCAATGACATGGAGGACGACGGCATGGTGAGCTGGCACTGTGCTCCCTTGATTGCTATCTTTCAGACCCCACTTTGGGTATGAACAGCCATAGTTGTGAGTGGCCTTTTGGACTTACAGATGTGAACATGTTTGAAGCCCAGCATGGTGGCCATGCCTGTCACTTACACCTTTGATTTATGAGGCAACTCCATTAATGTCTCTTTTCTCCACAGATTTTATTCTCACTTCAGGTGATATATTAAAGACTCTGGTGAGCATGTATATACCTGAAAAGAGTTTGTCAGCTGAAATATTTTTTATTGGCTTCTTTGTCTGGGAAAGTCCCTGAATGCTCACTGTCTTTAAAAGAAATACTTTTTTATACCTATGATCAGCCCTGTCTTATAATAAAGTTCTTCATCTCTGCATCTTTACTATTAGAGTGGTGAGCAAAATAGGTCACGATTCATGCTCTTACAGAGCTTACAGACAAACTGTCCACAGTCCACACATTTACAAAGAATTACACGAATGTATGTATAATTATTTACTTTTTTAAAATTATGTAGAAAATGTTTGATTTCCTTTTTCACGAAACTTTCTTCATATATTCAAATACAATATATAATACTTCTCTGTTCTGCCTCCCTCCCTCCCTCCCCACAAACATACACATACACAAGTATTTGCACATTGCTGGCCATTCTTACAGCTATTTCTATGTAAATTTGTCCCCAATACCTTCACATCCTAACACATCTCCCGTGGACATAGTTTAATTCACCATTTGCCTCTTGAGCATGTGGTCAGGTTGAGCATGACGTAGGGCACCTAACATAGGACAGGGCAGGCACTTTTCCCCATGGACTGTGTAAGTTTGTTCTTGAAGCCTGTGATCACTTTAGCAGAGACCACGGCACTGTCACTAATTGCTCTGAACACTCTCCAGGATCTCATTGACTCAGATGAGCTGCTGGATCCAGAAGATTTGAAGAAACCTGATCCAGCTTCCTTGCGAGCTCCTTCGTGTGGGGAAGGGAAAAAGAGGAAAGCCTGCAAGAACTGGTAGGTGTTGGGGTGAGTAGCGCTCTGCCATGCCACTTCCAGTGGCTTCTGATACTCAAGTGTTAACAAGAAAAAAGTTAACAAGGTTTCTACTTTGGAAAGAAGAGAACTTTATTTCTCATAAAGTGTAGTGGTCATTGCAACAAGTTGGGAAGCAGAGCCTGGGCCAGAAGCCAGGTACATCTGCTTCAGAGAAGAGACAAAAGTGAGCAGAGTTTTAGACTGAGTGGGATGGCCAGGTGTACACATTCCACTAGCTGTAGGAAGAGTCATGAATATTTATGAGGGAAAATCATATGCATGTAATTGTGTGCTATCTCTCCTATCCTGTCTTGGCTGGACACTCAGTTTTAAGGTGTTTCTGGGATTCCCTTGGCCAAGAGGGGTCCATTCATTTAGCAGAGGGCTTAAGATTTTTTTAGTTCGGCTCGGCCCCTGTGGCTCAAGCGGCTAAGGTGCCAGCCACATACACCCAAGGTGGCGGGTTCGAATCCCCAGCCCGGGCCCACCAAACAACAATGATGGCTGCAACTAAAAAATGGCCGGGCGTTGTGGCAGGCGCCTGTGGTCCCAGCTACTTGGGAGGCTGAGTCAGGAGACTTGCTTGAGCCCAGGAGCTGGAGGTTGCTATGAGCTGTGATGCCATGGCACTCTACCCAGGGGGATAGCTTGAGGCTCTGTCTCAAAAAAAAAAAAAAAAAAGATTTTTTTAGTTCACACAAGCATTCACAGTATTTTACTATTTTAAAAACATGTTTTATTATGAAATGCATCATATATAGAGAGGAGTATATTAAACAGAACAATACAATGAACACTCACATGCTGATAGCCCAGGTTAAGAAGTAGAAACACTATTAGGACCTTAGAAATGGCCTGTACAGGCTTCCTCAGCCACATCCCTCCTCCCATAAGAGGTTACCTTCTCCTAAGTTTGTATTAATCATTCCTGGCTTGTTTGACAGTTTACCTCCTATGGGTGTGTGAGTCCCCAAATGATGTTTTATTTGTCTGTGAAGAACTGAGTAGTAAGCTCAGACTTGACCAGGGAAGAGAGGTCAATATTCTCAAATTTTATAAAAGCCCCCAGGGTAAGTTCCCCCAGAGAACTCTTGAACAGAGAACTCTTGTTCTTGGGTCTTTGGGTCCTGGTTTGGTTTTAGCTTCTTTAAGACTCTACAAGAGCCTTTTCCAGGGCAGCCAGAAGGAAGTCTTAAGAGAGTTATAGGAAACGAAGGGGACACTCTAGCAGTTAAGCAGTTACTGGGTAAGCAGCAGAGATGTCAGAGGGAGCAAGTGGTCTGCTCTACATTCTGCTGTAAGCTCACCATCGCCAAAGCTCTACTCTCGGGAGGAAGTCAGAGCTTCTGCGGGGCAGAATGTGTGTGTCCTCAGATGATCTGAATGTCCATATCAGGCTGTGGAGGGGAAGGCTGAATTTCTCTGATGCCCTACATTCTGGGAGATTTCTTCAAGTTCATCCTCCAAAACCTCTATGGAATTATGTTATTTTTACTATCATGTCTTTAATTTCTAAAATTCCTTTTTTTGTTCTAGGGCTTCTTTTTAATATAGCATCCTGATTTTATTTCATAGATAGGGTATCTTAATTTTTCTTTTGAGGATAGCGGCAGTTCTTGCTAAGTTTTTTCTCCCTCCTGTTCTCTGTTCCGTCAAGTTGCCTTTTTCTTATAGTTTGGTCCCTGATTTCCATGTTAGAGGCTTTCTTAAGATGTCTGGTAACCTTGGTTTCTTCGTAATTAAGAGTGAAGGACAAAAAGCTAATTGGAAGCACTGCACATAGAGGTACAATTTGTAGACTGGGCTTTGTTGACGGGAACCTGGATAGACCTTTGGGGGGATGCTCCAAAGTCAGTATCTTTGGGTCTTTCCCTTTGAATTGGTTAGATTTCTCAGAGGAGGGTCTTGCCAGAGCTGGCAAAAGTGCCTTTGGCAGTTTGTGGGTATGATGTGAGTGATATGTGCTCTGCTGAGTCGGCTCTCCCTACTCTGTCCCCCGTATGCTTCCTCCTCCTGCAGGGCTGTTGTCTCTTTTCTTGTCTTACTACTTTGTGGGTTCACAGCTTTGCTGAAATTTTGGTGGGGTTTTGAAGGAAATGGAAATTAGATGCATGTGTTCAGTCTGTCTTCTTAACCTGGAAACTTTGGCGTTAGTATTTTTACATTACTTTCATAAATGGATAAAGAGGCTGATAAAACGTTAACTGATGGCATGTAGGCTTATTTAATCCTCATTATTTTTTAAAAAGCAGAAGCTTCCAACATTTACACATCAAGAGATTTCAAGTAAAAATAACAAAATTTTTTTCTTCTGCTTTTGAATTTGGAAAATGTTGCAAACTGGGTCTGCTTTCCCCACCATGATAAGCAGCTAGAACTGGTTAGTGGCCACCCTGTGCAGATAGGGCACACACCCTCCATCTCGCCCCCATCCTCACCACCCTGGTTTGGTTTTAGCAGCCTCTTTTTTTTTAGACAGAGTCTCACTCTACTCTCAGTAGAGTGCTGTGGCACCATAGCTCATAGCAACCTCCAACTCTTGGGCTTAAGCCATTCTTTTGCCTCAGCCTCCCAAGTAGCTGGGACTACAGGTGCCCTCCACAATACCTGGATGTTTTTTTTAGAGACAGCATCTCACTCTTGCCCAGGCTGGTCTCAAACCCATGAGCTCAGGCCTTGGCCTCCCAAGTGCTGGGATTACAGGTGTGAGCCACAGCTTTTACCAGCCTCTTACACTGTTGCTGTCTGCCAAGCCCCGTAGGCACTGGAGTTATGACACACCAGTATAAAGGGAAAAGGCTTAGAGCACATTTTGGCACTGTTAGTATTTGGAGTTTCTGGGTGGTGACAAATGTCATTCATTAGCTACTGATTTTCCCACAGCACCTGTGGCCTTGCAGAAGAACTGGAAAAAGAGAAGTCAAGGGAACAGAGGAATGTTCAACCCAAGTCAGCTTGTGGAAACGTAAATATCTAGATCATTACTCGACACTCACAAAACTCCCAGCGGACCTGGGCATCAGTCTAAACTAACTCACTCTACCTTTCATGAATTTACTATCCACATATTTTAATATAGGAGAATTTGTGAGAACATGTATGTTGTTGGTAATAGTGGGGGAGAGAGGTTATCTCCTGGAAAGTGGTTGGCATCACATCTGTAGGGAAGGCTCTTACCATTTCTTACTTTTGGCCCCTTTCTTTCTGCTTCTGAGTGGGACCCGATGTCGTTCACCCATTTAGCTGAGTTTGGCTATGATTTGAACTACTTAGAATATAGAAATACAGCCTCAAGTTGGTCCGAAGGTTGTAGATTATCTTTAAGTGATTTAATATTTTGAAATATAGCCTCCTAAGGAACTTTCTTGACTGTTGTTTTTCATGAAACAGGAGATCTTAAGAACTCTTCAGTATTTGGGTCCCAACTAGACCTACACACATATTTAGCCATTTCCTTTTGGCCACTGTGGCCACATTATGAAATTGGGAATTCCTTTCTTCTAGCCCTTTTCTCTGGGACAAGCTGACCCTGGGCTTCTCCATTCTTTCTTACCAGTGCTACCTGGGCGATGCTTTCCGCTGTGCCAGCTGCCCCTACCTTGGGATGCCAGCCTTCAAACCTGGGGAACAGGTGCTTCTGAGCAACAGCAATCTTCAAGATGCCTAGGAAGGACTCAATATGGGACACATCTCCTCTGGCCAACTCCTGTCCCTAAAGTTCCACCACCTACCGCCTCTGGATTTGTTCACTCTCCTTAAGATCTGTTTGCTGGGGGGAGGGGTGCTCATGGGCCAGAGTGAAGCTGGCTGTGAGGTGCAGTGCTGCTATATATCCAAAGATCAAGGCCAGTGAGCTTCAGTTATCTGGAGTGGAGGGGACCAGTCCCTGTACCCAGTGCTACCAGAAGGGAGTGTGCCCTTCTGATGTTAAAATGCTGACCGGCACTCTTTGACAAAGCTCCAGGCCCTGCCCCATTCTAAGCTCAGCAGTGCTGCCACCTACTTGTCATCTAGAGTTGGTGGTCTACTCAATATGCAGTTCTTGGTGACAGAAGTCAAGTGTCTCAAGACCTCAGGGCACCAGAGGAGTCAGGCCCTGGCTGCTGTGATCCTGTTCCTCAAACCTCTGCCCTTTCCACCCCTCCCCCATTTGACTGTAGCACTGCATCTGTGTCCTGTTGTCATTTCTGTTGATCTACAAGTATTAAACTTGTGTCCTTCTGCATATCTTGAGATTCTGTGTACACTGTACAGAAGGGATGTGTATGTGTGTGAGGTCTGACAGTCATCCATGCTCAGCTTGGACCATCGTAGGAACTTGATACACAGTCAAATGGGGCCAGTCTACACTGACGGGATAGGGCCTTAACTCCATCTGCTTTAGAAGAGTCCAGGCTGGTGGAAATTCAGAGGAAAGCAGAGTAAAACTCTAAACCAAGAGTAAGTCTCTTAGGGCAAGAGACCCGTTTGTGTTCCTTGCTACCTACCCCCACAGCCTTGGAATTGATCTTGCCAAATAATTTGGAAAGATTGTGTGGGTTTAAGAGATATGGATGTTTATATTTTACCAATAAATAAAGGTATTAATTGGTATCTGTCCTTGACACTTGATCTGATTCCCTAAGTTTGCTCTTGCTTATCCTGGTACCTGCTGGTAGAGTTAGTTGTGGCTAAATTCTAGTTTGCCCTTTGGCAGGCAGTCTAAGATGACCCCCAGTGGTCTGTGCCCTTGTGTAATCCCCTCCCCTTGCATTTGAGCAGAACTTGCACATGGGTTGTCCCTACTGTGACTAACATTCTGTGCCATAAGTGAGGGATTTGTGCAGATGTAATTAAAGTCCCTGATGGACTTGAAGTTAATTAAAAGGGAAGATTATCTAAACGGATTGGGCCTGACCCAATCAGTTGATCCTTTAAAGGAACTAGAAGACAGTTTCTCTTGCTGACCTTGAAGAAGTAAGTTGCTAAGTTGTGAGAGGTCTATGGGCAAGGAACTTCCAAGTGCAGAAACTGCCACCACCAGTAGACAGTCATCAAGGAAATGGGGCCTCCAGGCCTAGAACTTTGAGGAACTGAGTTCTGCCAACAACTACATTAGCTTGGGAGAGGACCCCAAGTTCCAGATGAGAATGCAGCCTGGCCAGCACATAGGTTGCCACCTTGTGAGATTCTGGGCAGAAGCCCTGGCCTTCTGTGCTACAACCTCTGACCCATAGACGGTGAGATAATAAACAAGTGTTTTAAGCAGCTAAATATGTGGTCATTGGTTACCGAAACCAATACGGCCCCCAGAATGGTTTAACCTATTTATCAAGCTGCCAGGCCACTGTTAAGTTGCTACTGCTGCAGTTGCCAAACTGAGGGGCAAAAATATCCAGGTTGAAGACAAGAGAGCCTGATCCAAAGGGTGTCCTAGGATGGATGTAGCAATGGCACAGGCCCTTGTTCTAAGTCCCAGGTGCTGCTGGCAAAAAGGAACTGAGTTGAGGAACTAAGTTCTGCCAACAACTACATTAGCTTGGGAGAGGACCCCAATTCTGACTATCTGCTACAATTGGCATAGTTAACAGCACTATGTTGGCAGCTGCTGTGTCACTCCACGGGGCCTGGGGGAAGCCAGCCAGCTCGGTGTCATGGGTATAGCATGGTGGGGAGAGGCCTTGCAGCTTAGCACATCTGCACCTGGAGCTCAGCCCCAACTCCACCCAGCAGGGAGGCACTGGAGATGGTCAGACAGGCTAAAGCTCACAGCACTAGAGCTGTCTCAGATATCACTGAATGCAGCCTCACCTTGAATCTGAGTAAGCAATGAGGCCAGGAGGGTGACCTGCTGCAATCAGCCACCTGAGGTCCTGTTAAAAGTACCAATGCGGCTCGGCGCCTATAGCTCAACAGGCTAAGGCGCCAGCCACGTA